GTCGAGTGCAGGGCCTTTCACCCAGCACTTCAGATCACAGTTCCTACTGCAAAATGGCCACACTGATATCTCAGCTCAGCTGGCCAAGTTCAGAAGGCTGTGCAAGACACCTCGATTCAAATGGTGGTGGTGGGCTGTGTGCAGAGAGGCTGCACCTGGCACTGTAATTCCCCACCACCACCCCCATCCCCACCACGAGATCCCTATAAAGCAGCCCACACCTGTTGGGGAGAGCAAGTGTTCTAGCTCTGGAGCCAGCACCTCTCCATTCTTTGCTTTCCTTTGTTTCTGAGCTGAACCCGGTCTCGTTCTATCGGCTCAAATGACACTGGGCAAGGGGACACTTGATGGTGCCCAAAAGGGTCAGTAACAAATTTTGATGCCCCAGATGGGACAGACAGTGGCTTTTTCACCTACACCTATCCACTAGGCCTATTCACTAGGTTCTGGGCTCACTCCAGCTCTAGCAGGAGGACAGTGGAGGTTTGGGGCAGTTCGTGTAAGGATGATGGACTCTGGTCTTTGAGGACACTCTGACAGGGTAGAACAGGGGCAGCCTTCGGCTGAATTCAGAGCAGCTCTGCCCAGCAACTCGATACTCAGGTGTGGAACACACAGAGTGTAGCCCCCAGAGTAATCTGGATTGTATTCCCTTGAGGGGATTACACTGTGGCATCGCTGGGGATCCGAGAGTGAAACTCACACATGTCGTCCCGCTGCCTCTGGCTGGCCTTCCCACAGTACCAATGCCCGGGGACGGTGGGGATCTGTGGATGAGAGGGAGCCACGGCAGTCCTGCCTGCTGTCTTGCCATTAGTGCTGTTCTTTTGACCCTTGTACAAGGCAGTAACGGCGGCACCAGGGCTTTTGCCCTCCTCGCTGACCTTCAGGCATCATTATCATTATTCTCCATTGTCACTTTTGGTTTGGTAAAGTGGCCAGCCCCATGAGCCAAGAGGCAAGACCAGGAAAAGGCCCAGGTCATGAGGCCACCTGACAAAACGGAACGAGGACGCTAGATTCAAGTTTAGGAAAAGGCACCAGAGGACACCCGGGGACAAAAAGATCCCAATGTAGGTACGTAACCAGTGACTTGACCTCTGCTGGTCAGCACTAGTTTCTCTGAGTTGGGCTGGGGAGCCCTCTGAGCTCCTTGAAAGACCAGGAAGCCCATTATCGGGAAGCCCTGTGAGCTGCTGGCAAGAACAGGAAACACCCACCGCCCTTACTCTCCTCCTCCCTCTGCTTGTGAGGGGGACCTTAGGTGATTCTTTATCAACCGAGGTTCTGCAGGCTCTCCTCCTGAGATCAGCACAGAATACCAGCTGCCCCAATGATCTAGTGAGAACCCCACGGGCCTCCCTCGTGCTTCTAGCTCTCAGCCAGTAGGAAGTCCAAAAACTCCTTTTCAGCCAAAAGCTGTCCTGCCTCAGACAGCAATGCCACTCCCTAATGGACCAAGTTAGTCGGGAACTAACGTGGCTAAGCTGCTCTGGCCCAGAGGCCATCCTGTCTAACCTCCTGTGGGACATTCTGACTGAGGAAGGACTATGTCAACCACAGGCTGTTATAACTTCAAGGGAAACCCCCAACTGTATCAGAGCCCATGTCTATTGGGTCTCTTGAGGAATCCATTAACAGTTTGTTGCTCGTGCCAAATTTCCCAAATCAGAAATCTTATTTGAGTCAAATCTTGTGGTATTTGTATGCCAACAAATCACTCCAGTGACCCGTTCGGTACCCGGAAACAAATCCACAACAGGACATCTAAGTATAGGAAACAAACGTTCAACGTACTGAAGGATAGCCCATGAGGATGCATCTTGCAGAACTGGAAGTTTTTCAGGTATCATTGCCTGACCCCAAAACATTTAATCTTCCTGTATAACACAGCTTGGCCCCAATACCAGCTGAAAGATGGGGAAACGTGGCCCGTCAATGGGTCTACTAATTGCCAGCCAGGTCCAACAACCCACCAGGAAAAGTACTCCCTTTGAGGCAGGTCCCCAGTGGAGAAGGAGGGCTCATCCAGGTTTGTATAACTGGAAAATTCATAGTAAGGTGTTGAGGGAAGAAGATACATCCAGAGCCTCATGCTATTTTCAGACTAGGGCATCAAGTGATCCCAGATAACAAACCCAACTGGGACCACTGAGACAATGGAGAAGGGAGTAGAAGACGGAGGCCAACCCATTATAAAAATTTGATCCTAAAAGGGAATCTAGGCAGCAGGAAAGAAACTGTCGATTGGAATGAGATAAAGGAAATCAATCAGAAGCCAATGGAAACCCTTTGGCAATCCTAGAGCACCTAGGGAATGCCTACCACTGACCCTGAGTCATTGGAAGGGAAAACAATCCTGAGGTCATATTTCATTTCCCTAAGCACCCCCCCCACCCCGATATCAGGCATAAACTTCCTACCTCTCGCCTGGTCAAGGCTGCCTACCAGGTATTTAATAACAAGACATACAATAGCCAGGACATGGAAGCAACCTAAGTGTCCATTGACAGATGAATGGATAAAGAAGATGTGGCACATATATACAATGGACTATTACTCAGCCATAAAAAAGAACGAAATTGAGTTATTTGTAGTGAGGTGGATGGACCTAGAGTCTGTCATACAGAGTGAAGTAAGTCAGAAAGAGAAAAACAAATACCTTATGCTAACACATATATATGGAATCTAAAAAAAAAAAAAGGTTCTGAAGAACCTAGGGGCAGGACAGGAATAAAGACGCAGACGTAGAGAATGGAGTTGAGGACATGGGGAGGGGGAAGGGTAAGCTGGGACCAAGTGAGAGAGTGGCATGGACATATATACACTACCAAATGTAAAAGAGATAGCTAGTGGGAAGCAGCTGCATAGCACAGGGAGATCAGCTCAGTGCTCTGTGACCACCTAGAGGGGTGGGATAGAGGGATAGGTGACCACAAGAGGGAGGGGATGTGGGGATTTACGTATACATATAGCTAATTCACTTTGTTATACAGCAGAAACTAACACACCATTGTAAAGCAATTATACTCCAATAAAGATGTTAAAAAAAAAAATAACAAGACATAGAGGAGGATAAAAAAGCCCAGAGGCAAGCCTACCCACTGGCTGTTGCCCTCCAATGTCAACCAGTCAGCACGTGAATCTGGACTAACCACCCACAGAGATTCTTGACTCCAGTGAGTAATTCCTGGCTCCCATCAAAGGAGAGAAGCCAAGGAAACTTGGATCCAATCATGCGCCATATGTAAACAAGAGGGACACTGGGAAAGAGAATGCCCTCGCCGACCCGAAGAGGGATGTAAATGACAGATCCCAGCCACTACACTTGAACACAGATGGTCCAAATAGGTTAAGAGTGACGGGGCTGGGGGCTCCTAAGCTGGCACGCCAATTGACCTCCAAGGAGCCCCAGCTGACACTGGACGTAGGGGAAAGCCTGTTGAATTCTTAGTCGACACCAGTGCCACTTACTGGGTTCTGAAAACCAGATCGAGCAGACCCAGTCACAAGGGTTGTAAAACTAAGGGGGTATCAGAGAAAGCGTAGGAACAGGCATTCTTAGAGCCTTTACAGTGCCATTCCTTCCTGTTTGTACAAATTGGAGATTGGTGTCCCCTTCGACAAAGGGCACAAGATGATAACATTAATGGTTGAGAGCAAACCTCCTCAGACAGAGCAAGTCCATCTCCCTGGAGGAAATCCCGAGGTCTGAGCCCAGGGACGGGCGGGCTGAGCTGCAGGAGCCAATCCCATGATAGTCCATCAAAACCCCGGACATATATGGCCAACAGAAAAGAGCACCCCCTTTGTCAGGAGGCCTTATTGGGCACTGCCTAACTTACCAGGACCTTGTTAGATCAGGCCAGCTTGTCATCTCCCCAATCTCCCCGTAAAGAAATGTACTGGGGAGTACCGGGTGGTAAAGGACCTCAAGGCAGTCAGTGAAGCACCTGAGGATATACATCCAGTGGTCCCCAATCCCTATACCCTGCTGGCCGCTCTACGTCCACAGGACCTGGTATCTGTGTTTGATTTACCTGGAGCTTTTCTTCTGAAAAACAACAAGATAACAAAAACTACAATACACCAGGGATATTCAGGCCCCGGCAATGAGCCTCGACACCAGGGCACACTCGCGTACAGGCGACAAGATCGAGATACCTGCATTTTTAGGAAAAATTTGACATGTGACCATTATTCCTTTCCTAATATTTGGGCCATGCATCCTAAATTTTCTGGCATCCCCTGTCGCCAAAACGTTAGACAAATGGTGGTCGCTCAGAGAAACAAACAGTGAGGGCTGAGGTCTGGGGGCAAACAAACAAATCTAAAGGCAGCTGAGAAGGTCGGCTCCTCCACCCGCGGTTATGACGACGCCCACACTCAGCAGGCAGCGGTTACATAAGACGCACCTGCGCCCCTCAGCGTCCCTCGAGAATGAGGAGCAGGGCAAAAGGCAGAGGAGAAATTTGTCACCAGCAAAGATGATTAACAATTTCCGGGGAACAGAAATAGAATCTGGGTAATAAACTCTAACCTTTTTTTTTCCTTTGCGCTTAGGCTAGTTTCAGTGGCTCATAGGATGCTGCTGGCAGAGGCCTCGCACCTGGCCCTTCAGACCAGACTTCCTCATGCAAAATGGCTGCTCCGACAGCTCAGCTCAGCAGACCGTGTTCAGAGGCCGTGCGCGAGACACCTCAACCCAAGATGGCGGTGGCAGGCTGTGTGCCGAAGCACTGCACCCGGCACTGCAGTCTGGAGCCAGGAGCTGCGCAGCCGCGCCCGCCCTGCGAGAACCCCCTAGCCCCGCGAGAATCCCCTAGCCCCGCGAGAATCCCCTAGCCCCGCGAGAACCCACTAGCCCCGCGAGAACCCCGTTCCCCTGCCACGAGATCCCTATAAAGCAGCGCCGCCCACCCCTGACTGGGAGAGCGTGTGACCCGGAGCGAGAGTTTGCATCCTTCTGTTCTTTGATCAAGGGATAAAGGTTGGCTTGAAGGATACCTTGAAGGAGGACCCTTGTTGGGTCACGACTTGAAAGGTTTGGTAACATTAATCATCAGCCTTCTGTTTCCAACCAGTCTGGGGTCTTCCTGCTTGTTCTCAGCATGTAGCCAGCATCCTCCACCTGCGTGGGCGTCTTAGTTCTTACAGAACAACTGAAAGGTATGTGTCAAATTGTTATGACTATCCCTTGAGGAGAAACTAGGTCCTTGTTTTATCACTGAGCTCGTTTCTTGACTGCTTTTCCTTTGTTTCTGCATTCCCTCACTTCCCTAGAGAGTAACTCTCTTGCCTGCTCTTTGGTACTCAGGAAAGGCCTAGGAGACTAAAGGCTTTTTCCTGCAAACAAGAAACAGGGTACATGGAGGGGCTTTTGTACCCAGGAAGGTTCCCCCAGGGTCCTGCTCAGTTTCAGTCCCTTCTTTGCTTTGACACTTCTCAATCCTGAGGGGAACAGGGGTGGGACAAGAAAGGGAATGAAGTTTTGGATGGAGAGGTTCATCATCAACTCAGCAGGGGAACTTGGTTTTAGGGGGACTCGGTTTCAGTGGCAAGACACATAGACAGTTGGGGAATGTTAAAGCTGGCAGTGTCAAAGGTGACTATAAATATTATCAAGTTCAATTCTTTTCAAACTTTGGAAACGGAATTCCGAAGAAATGCCACCAGGAGTAAAGGGGAGACCGAGCATGTGACTCAGAACTTTCCACTTCAGCTTGAAATGGAACAGCTTAAATTTAATGTTTCATTATTAGGCTTCCGCAAAATGTTTCATAAATTGTTTAAAGGGTCCTCTGGGAAACAAAACCCTGCTCAAAAGCAGTATGCTTATTTACAAAAGCCACTAGATGGCCTTCACTTTCTTATTGCCCTCATCATCTTGGTCTGCAGAAGCAACTCCATAAATGTTGGTTGAATTAAGGCACTTGCCCAAGACAACACTGTTGGTCAGTACTAAGCTCAGACTGGAACCGAGGTCTCCAGATTCCCAGCCCAGGGTTGTGACTGCCATTGTCACACTGCTTTCAGTTATTGGGGTCCTAAGTATAATAAATACTTGCCGAATAATTGCACTAACCTGCTTCATGTAAAAATTGATGCACACTTCCAGGAAAATATATTCAGCTCCATCGTCATGGTTGGTCATGGCTTTTACAAGACCTAGCTTTGAGTTGAGATGGGACAGAGGGTTCCCTTGGTGGTGCAACTTGGAGAGGAGTGGCTATGGCAACACCATAGAGAACCCAATTTCCACATCTTTTTATTTTTTTAATTAATTTTTATTGGCGTATAGTTCCTTTACAATGCTGTGTTAGTTTCTACTGTACAACAAAATGAATCAACTATACGTATACATATATCCCCTCTTTTTTGGATTTCCTTCCCATTTAGGTCACCACAGAGCACTGAGTAGAGTTCCCTGTGCTATACAGTAGGTTCTCATTAGTTATCTATTTTATACAGAGTATCAATAGTGTATATATCCTGTTTATCACAGACTTATGTTCTTTCAGTACAAAATTTTGCATCATCAGAAGTCCCTTTTTCAAATGCAAATGTTCCTGGGTAGACCAATTCATTCAGTCCTTATCAAAATGAATTAGAACAGTGATTCAGAAAATTGTACACAGCCTTTATCTTGGGCTCTCCTTACAAAGCAACTTCTGCTTCAGTCATTCTGGGGTGAGGCCTGAGCTTCTGCATTTCAAACAAGATGCAGGTGCTGTGATGCTGCTGGCCTGAGGACCAGTCTTTGAAACTAAGCAAACAAGTGTCCAAAAAAGACCTAGGGGGAATAGAGCACAGGCATAAATCTGGTGGCAGAGCTTCTGCATGAGTTCCACATTCAGGAAGGCCAGGCCTTGGGGGCTTCTAGTGTGGGAGATTCTAAAAATTTTCTAAGAAGGGCCTGAGTGTGGTCACGAGGCGCAGAAAAGGCAGGGCACCAAAGACTGTTTTACTGGAAGCTGGCTAGTTTGAAAAAGAAAGTACAAAGCTGGGTTCAGCCAAGGGAATGGGTGAGTCTTATAATGAGCCATCTCTATGCTTAGCACCCACCTGGGCATCCACAAGAGCCTGGAGTCCTGGATTGTTTAATAAACCCCCTTCCCAGGCTCCCTCGACTTTCAGGTTAACACCTCACTGAGGTGACTAAGCTGTAAGCACGCACTGGAGTCTCACCTAGCTCTGCCGCAGCAGCAATATCAGGATTGGAGATGATCTTCATAAAGGCTGGGGGACGGGAGCACTTGCTAAGTTGGTTTCAGTGAGACTTTCACAAAACTCCTTAAGCAGTTTGCCTCGTAGCAGGCAATATCCAGTCTTCCTCCCTCTGTGGCGTTATGCAGGGGCTTGGAGTTTCCTTAGCCCCAGCTTAATTTTTACCAGATCCCTACTGAGCATACACAGAAGCAATTTTTTTAATTGGGCTATTTTTTTTAATATATTTTGTACTTTTCTTTCTTCTTCTTTTTTAAAATTTAAGCAAATACTGTTGCAAAAGGGAGATGAGTCATGGGTGAAGTTTGAAGTTTTGTCAGGATTTTTTCAAGGCATTATGGTAAATATCCTTTCTCTTTTAGACCTATACAATTTAGAAATATATCCATATTTTTTAAGGGTGGGGGATATCTTTGTATAACAAAATAAAAACTAGCTCTAAAATAATTTCCCAAACTAAGTTATATGTAAAATTACATCATTCATTCCTTTGCCAAATAAGGTGTAATTTTAATTTCTAGAAATGATAGTTATGTATTTTGTCCTCATCTTGAACACATCTTTTCTCTTATTGAACACATCTTTCTCTTATTTTATTAAAAAGAAACACCCCAGATTATCTTACTTATTTGTCAGCCACAAGCTTGAGACAAGCTGGAGCTAATCTCATTTTTAACTTTCTGAGTTTGTTGACACCACTTTGCATTCAATTAGTTAGCAGTTAGCCCTCCTTCTCCCAGAAAAAGAAAATTTTCTTGTTGGTGTTCAGTACGTTCTGCAGGGCTGTCTTCCTAGTTCTCATCTGCACTTACCATGTTGAGGAGTCTTCCTACTTCTTTTTTCTATCACTGCAAAGTTAATGTTATTTTAAAATGTCCCCCGTCAGAGCCTGGATTCTCCTGAGGAGCATATTCCTTTCCATGGAATGGGCATTTTCACAACTTAATATCTTATATTTGATTACCATCGGTGCATATTTAAATGTTGTCTTGCTCATCTTGTTTATTACATATATGTATTAAAAACTAATAAGAGCAAAATAAGACAAAAAATGAGCATTTCATTTTGGCATCCTCCCTACTACAAAACCCTGCAGATGTTTGGCTGCCTGTGATATATTTTGGAAGATGGAATTTGCAACTGTTATAATTAAGCAATGCCATTAAGTCACCCGAGAGTACATTAGAAAGTAAACTGGTGCTGTGTGCTCAGGAACCCAAGATTATAGGCTGAGATCTCTATTCAGTGTCTGAAGTCAGCTCCCTTCAAATTGATTCTGAAATAAAAGGTGTTATTTCTTTTCCCTACCTCCAGAATACATAAGTGTATTAAACATGTCCCTTATATTGATTTGGCATGCCAGTTGTAATCTTGAATTGTAGGGGAGGTTTTCGTAAACAGTGCTATTTCTATTTTGCTACTCCTGTTTCAGTGGTAATGGGCAAGAGAAATGCGTAGGTCTGGATTATTTCCAGGGATTTGGCTGAGATCCATGAACTCAATAGTGGTTTGAAAAAAAAGGAAAGAAAGAAATCAAGAGAAAGAAAGGAATCCTAGCACTTCCCATTGCAGTTAGAATTAGATGAAGGTAATGTCACATCTCAGACTTTTCCCTACATAATACCATCTGGAAAGAGACAATCAAATCCCAACAACCCAAAATACAAATCATCAGCAATCTGAATAGAACATTGATACAATAGTTGTTCTCCAAAGCAGCTTGAACAATCTATAATCCAATAAATTTAGAATATTAACAATTAAAAACTTGTTAATAATTACCTAACAAAATTAAGCTAGATAATCTTGAACATAGCACCATGCTAAACTCCTCTTCGACAGCAGTTTAAGCTGACTAAACTAAGACAGGTCCAGCCCCTTGCTATTAGCTACGCAAAGTGTGGTCTTAGGAACTCGCCCCTTGCTACTCCAGGTATGGTCTTTGAAGCAATATTATAAGCACAGTTAGGGAGCTTGTTGGAAATGCACAAGCTTAGCCCCACCCAAGACCTACTGAATCTGAATCTATATATATATATTTTTTAAATTACTATTTATTTATTTGGCTGTGCCGGGTCTTAGTTATGGCATGCAGGATCTTTAGTTGCGGCATGTGGGATCTAGTTCCCTGACCAGGGATTGAACCCGGGCCCCCTGCTTTGGGAGCGTGGAGTCTTAACCACTGGACCACCAGGAAGCCCCCTGAATCTATATTTTAACAAGATCTCCAGATGATTCATTCACATATTTAAGTAGGAGAAGCACTGATCTAAATCCTTGGCTTCCTACCTGTTTTCAGGGACCCAGGTCAGCCCAAATTCACAAAGCCTTTTAGTCGCAGGACAGGTACCACCTTTTTCTACTTCCCCACTGGTCAGTCATTTCCTTGACTTTAATGATGTGGCTGATCTCCCTAAAGTCACACTGCATTTTGGCAGTTTCCAAGAATGCTTTACAAATACCACCCGTCTAGAGGATTGGATCCCCCCTCTTTTCAGTAGAGCTGCTTTTACTGAGCTCCTCACAGAAACATTAACAAGATATCGATGCTATACATTTTCAATTTAGTCCTCAGACTGATCTTTCTGTACCTGAACTGTTGTCAGAATGGATTGCTTTTCTGCCCATACCTGACATACGCCTCCCCTGATCTAACAATCTGTTGCAACTTGGCAGCCTAAGTTTATCAAGTTTTCTATTCTTCTTCCAGTTTTTCTTCTATAGATACTACTCTGCTTTTCTTCTTCATTTGTCTGGGTTCAATTTGGTTTTGCTCTGATAGAATTGATGCAAAAGGAAACTCTTTGTAAAATGACATTGTCCTTTATAGATATGGCCTATCAGGAATGTGTCCTCCCTACAATGACTCCAAAGACCTGCTTCCATGGCCTTCTCAGGCTCCCACTTTTTCACTCTACCCATCAGCAGAGGTGGAACAGTGT